TTGATGTGGCATACCCAGTTTTTAGTTTTTAGACATTTTTTCCATAAGAGTCAAAATCTGCCAAGTGGGCCACCCCTGTTCCGAAGGTCCGATTTTCATCGAACTTTTTTACTTTTCCGGTTCACAACGAAAATATAAGAACTTCATTTGAACGGTTTTGCGAAATTTTGAGTTTTACCGGAGTTATAGGGGTCAAAACATGGCATTTTTGACACTTTTTCGAAAAAGTTGCACTCAGTCAAAAATTCATAACTTCGGAACGGTAAGAGATATCTTTATGATGTTTTCACTAATCGCTCAAGAATTATTATGGCTTTCCATAAAAAAATTTAAAAAAAAATTAAAAATTTTTTTTCTTAAAAATAAATCAACATTTTTTTTTAGTTTTTATTTTTTTCAGTGTTCTTCACCAGCTATAGAGTTTAAAACCATTTGAAAATGAAGTTTGATTCATTACGAAAAAGATCAAAAAAAAAAAAAGAGGGGCCCGGACAAAGGTTTTTCGCAATATCGATTTGAAGAAGGGCGCACAGCGGTTTTCCATACAAAATCGGCTTGCTCGTGAAAATTGGCTGGTCAACACATGCCGTTGCGCGCGTAGCGTCAGCCGACTGCAGCTGTCAATGAGGCACTTTTTGTCGTTTTATATGGAAAACCGCTGTGCGCCCTTCTTCAAATCGATATTGCGAAAAACCTTTGTCCGGGCCCCTCTTTTTTTTTTTTTGATCTTTTTCGTAATGAATCAAACTTCATTTTCAAATGGTTTTAAACTCTATAGCTGGTGAAGAACACTGAAAAAAATAAAAACTAAAAAAAAATGTTGATTTATTTTTAAGAAAAAAAATTTTTAATTTTTTTTTAAATTTTTTTATGGAAAGCCATAATAATTCTTGAGCGATTAGTGAAAACATCATAAAGATATCTCTTACCGTTCCGAAGTTATGAATTTTTGACTGAGTGCAACTTTTTCGAAAAAGTGTCAAAAATGCCATGTTTTGACCCCTATAACTCCGGTAAAACTCAAAATTTCGCAAAACCGTTCAAATGAAGTTCTTATATTTTCGTTGTGAACCGGAAAAGTAAAAAAGTTCGATGAAAATCGGACCTTCGGAACAGGGGTGGCCCACTTGGCAGATTTTGACTCATAAAAGAATAATGTCCTGTTTTAATTTGTATTAACATCACCTAATTTATAAATGTATTTTGTAAAATAATAGATAGTATGTAAAAAATTCAAAGTTTTTAGCTTTATTAGTTCTTCGCAAAAAACTTACAAAAAAAAGACACAAATTTCGAAATACGTTTAAAACCTTTACTTGGATTCACGATTTAACAAACACTAAAGATCGTTTAGAACTCCGATCTAATTAAAATTTACAAAGGAAGTAACAAATTTGTTGACCTTTTTTTTCTGATTTTCCAAACCGAAAAAAAAAAAAAAAAGAAAAGGAGGACAACAAAAACAATCAACAATGCTCGAAAAGCTTCTTAACAGAGATGTTCCAATTAGGAAACCCATTATCCAACCAGAAAACGCAAACGAAACGGGGGAAAAAGCTGCGCTCAAAATCAGATGCCTCACACTGAGACAAATTCCACACACGCACACATAAATCATTACGCGCAAAAAAAAAAGCAACAGAAAACATGAAAGAGAGTACGGGAAAGGGGAAAAACTGGGTGGAAAAAGGAAGGGGCCAGATGAAGAGGAGAATTCGCGGAGGATGAGTAAGCAGCAGAGACAACATAAAAGAATCGCAAGTAATAAGAACACCGCATACACAGCAAAAAAATGTTGAAAAGCGCAAGCAAAGTAGATAGTTCTTTTTAAAAATCTTTTTAATTTGTAAGTTACATAGTTCAAATGAAATGGCGAAACGCCTCTCTCTTTAAGCCTAATTAATACAATTTTGTTATTTTATAATCAAAATAAATAGGTTTTAATATTAAATCGTGTTAATTTATTTTTTTTACTGTGCACAAGACGAATACAAAGAAGGGGCAGAAGAAACAGAAGAGGAAGCAGAATGCGCCACATGCAGGGCAGCAACAAAAAGCAACGCAAGTGAAACAATGAGCAAACTTAATGCAACAACAACAACAGCGCAGAAGAATCGTTGTCGCACCTCTTCCCCCTCCCCCTGCCCACCCTCTCTTGCTCTCAGTCTCCTGCTCCCCTTTTTATCCCATTCTATTCCGTTCCGTTCCGCCCGGCTGTTAAGCGCAAATCAATGACCTACGACATCAACAAGAACGCTTCAAACACACACGCAAAGCCCATAAGTGGGAGCAAGAGAGCGGAGAGATAGTTCTGGGAGAGATGAGAGAGAGGGACAGCACGTGGTAGTGTGGTGGGGGGTAAACTGGGGGTGGTGGGAGACAGAGGAGAGAGATATAGAGATAGAGAGCGCAAGGAGTTTGGCGAATTAAGATTCTTTTCACCCCCCACAAACAAGTGTAGTCCAAATACAGTGAGTATTCGAAAAAAAAAATTTCGTAACAATTTATACTTTCCCTAGCTAAGTAAGTAAGTTTTAAAATTGGTTTAGTTTTAGTCAAACCTATTAAAAAGTACATTACCTTTACCATTAATTAGTATTAAAAAATTTTTAAATTATTTAGGTTTCTTATATATTTGTAGAGATATATTCCAATAAAGTTAACAACCACTGTACCAGTTTCCCCTACAGTATTAGTATTCCATTTTCGAGTGCTTACTGTTATTATGAGGGGACAAAAATCAGTAAGCTTGAAAAAACTAGAGTAACAGCGCCAGACGCCAAAAAGGGAGGCAAAATCCAAGGGAAAGAGGAAGGACATAAACAAAGGAACAGAAAAACAAGAACAACTTTGAGCTCTCTTTTGCACGACTTCGTATTTTCTTGTTTATTTTTAAGGGAACCTCCTGCCAGGAGGTCCTTATTCTGTTCTTCTTATTTCTTCTGCCCCTTGCATAAATGCAATAAATATTTTCTTCCTCTTATTCGGTTGGTTCTTTGGTCAAAGAAAGAGAGAGATTGCACAATATATGCACAAAAGGAAGTTGTTGCCAAGAAAAATAAAAAAGGGTCACAAAAAGTAAAGTTTGTGGTAAGTTATAAGTGGTGAATTTTTTCTGCGTTCCTGGATAAAGAAAATAATTTAATTGTTGTTTACACGAAACGACAAAAGTATAAAAAACTAATTTTTTCTCTCTTGAAATAAAAACTATTTTTAAGAACTGTGATTGAAGTGCATAACTCTTCGAAGACTAAAAACATATTTTAGACACCAAGTCACTTAAAGTTACTATATATTGTATCTTTTGGTATTTTACTAAAGGTTTTTTATGATATATTTACCAAATATGTCCTAATAAAGAGGTAAATGAAAAATATAAACCGAGTCCCGTTCTATAGAAAGGGTATCCCGACTTTAAGACTACCCAGAACCGTTTTCGAAACGACAATTTGCTTGATAAAAACATAATCGATTGCGGGCCAACCAACACTTGCACATAAAAACCTTGCATTGTGTGCGAAGGAAGTGAAAAGGAAATTGCAGTACTGCCAGGTGACAAGGGGATTCACCCGGAGCAGAGGTCAGCAAAAGACAGAGCGAACAGGTGAGCAAAGGACGCCGAGTCGGGTGAGATTCTTTAATTAAAATGGCATTTCCTATAAACAATTGTGACATAACGAGAACTTCTCCACTCCAGAGCACAGCAAACGAACGAACAGCATCACAACTCATTAGTTCCCAGTATTAAATTCTTTCGTTTATAAATTGCAGGTAGTTGTTTCTGGCTAAAATACCAGTAGTAGTCGAGTTCTCAAGTCATCAGATTTGCCAACGGACAGGTGAGTAGACAGGTGTGTGAGTATCCAAGCGAGTGTGTCTGTGTGGCATGTGCAATGTTCTGGCTTTATAAGGCTGAAATATTGCAACCGGAATGGGATCTATGTATTTTAGGCCCGCCCCGCCCCTCTTTTTTCTCTCGTCCCCTATATTTCTACATTTATCTCCATTAGCAGTGCAGCAAAGACACGAATAAAGAAATACAGACAGACACCGAGAAGAAGAAGAAATGAAGAGCCAAACAAGAAACCAAAGAATGGTAAAATCAGCGAAATATTCACTTTTAAAAATGTGTATGGTCCCAAAGAATTTATAAAAATTATTGATGACAAAATCCTAACAACATATTAAATCCCAACAAGTAATAACAAACTATAAATAGTCATTAATTCAAACTTTGTAATGCCCCTAACAATAATTTTATGAGGCCCAAACTGAAAAAAAGCTATCTAAAGAAAGTTGGGGTATGAAAACGAAAAGTTTTCCCGAAAATTCTAACTAAAGAAAAAGTATAAGGGAAACCTAGTAAAACCACAAACAAAATTATTGATTAATCTAGCAAGAAAATATCATCAAATGAAATTGAATGGTTAAAGTTTCGCCTACTTTATTTTTATTTGGGAATAAACTTTCGATTTAAACGTGTAAGAGCTCTATTAAGGCCACTTAGCCATAACTTTTTGTGAAGACCCTTTTTCGACCATTCTGCTGAATTGGTTTTGGCTATTTAGTTGACAACTATCAACTTTAAGTTCTTCAAATAAACGCCAAATAATATGACAAATGAGAGTGATGACAAAGCTTTCATGCTTTTCGGTTAATAAAATAGAAGGAGATGAGTCATCTTTTAATGTATCTTGCTTTGATGGATAGGCGAAAAAGAAGAACAGAAACATCCTTTCAGTAACTCATTTGTGGTAGCAAAACAGGTTAAGCAAACTAACCCAATCAATATCTATTGGTAACCAAACAAGGTTAACTAATTAGCAGAAATTATTGGCTTATCAATTTATTATTTATCGTTGTATTAAAGGTCATAAAGAGGACACTGATTAGTATCGATTGAATTATCTAGAGATTTCCCTCTTTTGTTCTCACTAAATATCTAACTCACATTTATTCGATTAATTATTGGAAGCCAAGAAAATTAACCTATTACTCACCGCTGCATTCCGATTGGCAGCTGCAACAGCGGAGCTGTTCATATATTGATTCTGGGGCGGCATCATTGCGGCGCCCATGGGCACGGTGGTCTGGCCACCCATGTAGACATAGTCCTGCGGTCCTCCGGCTCCAGGAGGACCCAGTGGCGGTGGCTTGGGCATTCCCCCGTTCATTCCCGGATGCATGGCTCCACCATGATGGTCGTACATACTGCCGCCCGATTGGGCATACGATGACATGTGACCCAAGGCAGCTGCATGGTTGAGCAAATTCGAGTTATACTGGCCGGGATGTTGCTGCTGCTGCTGCTGTTGCTGCTGCTGCTGGCCGGGATGTTGGATTCCCAGACCGTTGCCATTGCCCAGTCCATTGCCACCGCCCATTAGGTGATGTGGATGCCCCTGATTCTGAGCCTGCTGCTGCTGCTGCTGTTGTTGCTGCTGGGGATGTTGCTGGTGTGGATGCTGCTGATGTTGCTGCTGCTGTTGAGCTGCAGCTGCGGCTGCTGCCTGCGACATCATGTGATTGTGCTTGGCCACCGCCGCCGCCTGTTGCATGGCGGCCATATTGGCTGCTGCAGCGGCCATCGATGGATGATGGAGGCCGCCATTTGTGCCGGATCCACTATTATTCCCGCCACCAGCTCCTCCGCCGCCTCCACCGCCGCCTCCACCGCCGCCCATGCTGCCCAGTCCGCTGCCCATGCCGATGGTTCCAATGGCGCCGGGGCCACCATTACTACCATTTCCCGGCGGTCCGCCAGGGGCAGCGTTAGCCGGATTCATCGGCGGATTGTACTTCCATTTGTCCGGGTTCTAAAATAGAAAACAGAAATAAACACACGGTTAAGCTTTTAAATTAAAACTGTAAACGATCTGACTTGTCTTAGATACTTTTTTAACAATGATATAAATATATATTTATTTTATATTATATTTTTAAAATTTTTTTTTGTTTTTTAAGATTTATCCTACCAAAAATTCAGATTGTTATTGAATCTATTTAGAATAGTGACTCATCTTTAAGTACGTCATTCGATTTTAAACATAGTCTTGGTTCCAATTGACTTTTAATTTTACGGTAAAGCATTTTACACTCATAGAAATTTTTACCTAAATACTAGAAAAGTCGCCCTAAAACCGCGGTCGCCCTAAAGCTACAAAAAATTTTCTTATTATACGGGTGGCTAGCCCTAAATATACGAAAAATCGCCATGGAAAATATTTTTTAGGGTTAGTTTCTCCAAAAAGGCCAATTTGCCCTGTTTTTTAGGGCGAAATTTTATGACGCAATAAATGAATACATACATGTAAAACATGTTATGTACATGTGTGTGTAGTTGACAAGTCAAGACAAGTGAGTAAGAATGGGTAGCCCAGCGGTCTAAGCACTCGCACTTTCAGCTTTGCTGTTTGAAAATACAGGTCGTGGGTTCGATTCCTGTGTGAGTCAACACTTTTTTTTTTATTACAGTTTTTATTACTAATTAAGTTTTTTCGTCCGCGTGTTAAATTTAAAGTAGTCTTAAAAACCTAAATACATATGGAAATTCTGAGTTTAAAGACTAATTTATGTTAAGCATGCGAGGAAACGGCCCAAAGTATCCATGTCACCAGCAAAAAATACAATTTTTTGTTTGTATAACTTAGACCGCAAAAAAATAAGATGTGTACAGGGTTTGTACGTTGCATAGCTCGATGGGACTGTGGTGCAGCGCTAGACCGTTAGACTCCAACTCGAGAGGCCGTGGGTTCGAACCCTCGTAGAGACACCCTAATGTTTTTCTCAAGTAAGTTGTTTTTTCTCCTTATATACATCTCCTTAATTCGATTACAAAGATGATTTTTCAGTTATAACCGGCGGTTATACAAGTCTGCTGCCTCCTGCCCCCAACAGCATCGTCCGGTATAGCCGACAATTCAAGAAACAAATTATCTGAAACGATGTTCGTGTCTGTGTGTGTGTGTGTATGTGTTGAGTCCTGTTCTCAGGAAATATCAACCAACACACACACACACACACCCCCCCCCCCATCATCGAAAAATTAATCGATTTTTTTTTGTTTTTTTTTGGTATTATTTTTATGGCGATTCGCCCTAGATTTGTCGCCTAGTCGCCATTGACCCCCGTTTTAGGGCGATTTTCCCTGTTTTTAGGGCGATTTTACCGGAAAATTTCTATGAGTGTATACACTTCTTCTTTATTTATTAAGTATCATTAAGTTCAACTTTTTAAGATTTATTCGACCAAAAATGCAGGTTGTTATTGAATCTAGTTAGGATAGTGACTCATTTTTGAGTACGTCATTCGATTTAAAATATAGTCTTGGTTCTAATTGACTTTTAATTTTAAGCATTTAAAGCATTTTCTACATTCCTTCTTTATTTATTAAAAATCATTAAGTTCAGAGACGTAAATAAAACAATGTTCTTGATTAATGTCGCCTCCTTCTGCAACTTAATCTCCTTTCTTAGTCTTCGCTTTCCAATTCATGCGATTTCATTGGCTGCTGTGTGTCAATGCCAAATTGTGATAATCTGTTTATGCAACCATTTTTGGCAGACACCGACCTTAGCAGCTTATACAATCTGCGGAGGGGAGGTCAACTGAGACAGTTTTAAAGCCCAGAATTCAACCACCCAATTGAAGAAGCCGCAAAATCTAATCAAGAAGCAGCACAGCTAAAAATTACCAAATACCAAAACAGGAAATAAAGAGTGAAACAGAAGAGAATTGCGTAAAATGCAATCGATGCTAGTTGCATCAAGGAACATTTATTTATGAGAAAAAAGATTCTTATTTGATTCCTATCTAACCCAGTTTGAAATCAAATTACGATTCCTTAAATAATAATGCATTTAGAGTTTATAATACAACCTGAATTTAATACTAAATTAAAGTATATATGGGCACTTCCAAAAAAAAGTCCACCAAGCCAAAAACCTTGAAACTTGAATAAAACATATTTCCACATGATTTTGCCCCGATATTAGTTTCTAATTAGTTGGATACTGAGCTTAACTACAAATTTGGAGTATAGTTTGATTATTTTTATGACAAACCCGACCAATATACGCAAAAATCAGTTTTTGGCTATTTTTTGGTTATTTTTTGAACTTGTCTTCTGTTGTTAATTTATCCTATAGGAATGCTAATATGTGACATTTTTCTGTACTGAACGCTTCATTCACATGCTAAACTATTAAGTTAAAAGCAAAACATCCAGCAATTGAGAGATAGAGGTAAAGAAATCCGCTTTACAAAACAGTCGGAAAAAATGTCCCGAGCGACATGTCCCGAGCGAATGTGGTTGAAACTGCATTAAAAATAAGCGGCAAAGAATTTTTGAGTAAAACCAAAAGCATTTCAAAGCGACATGTTTGAACAACATTCTAAAAAAATCGCATCAAAATATTCCATCAGAATTCGCTAATTTCTGGTGTTGTATGAACTTCCCCGAAATCCACTTCTATTTTTGTCCCGAGCGAATACGGCAGTTTTTTACCGATATCTTAAAAACTAAAAGTGGTACAAAATCAAGATTTTTACCAAAAATAGAGCTTGGGAAGAGTGAAAAGAAAAGCCAATAATTAAAATTTAAAACCATTGTTTTACAATTTTTTTCAACTTTAAAGGTGTGCAAATGTCCCGAGCGACATTTTGGAAGTGCCCATATGTATAAAGAAAATTTAGTTTTGCAAACTAAAAAATTTTGTTTCTACTATGCCCTGTCGTTTACTTTTAAATATAGATCAAAAATTGGGATAATAAGTAAAATCAGAATAGTTATCAGCTTAAAAAAAAGGTAATCTGTGGCATTTTAAGCAAATTTTCACACTAAAGAGAACGGAAGCAATATTCGGCAATCCGAAAGTTTAATAACCCCTGCAGATTTCACAAATGAAAATGTGACTAGAATGGTATAGATAGAAAACATATTTCTTCAATTTCAGCTTAATTTTGTAAGTTTTATCCTATGGGAGCTTCAGGATAAAGACGTCGATATGAGTACACATATTTTAAGACAACTACGAAAGTTTAACAAGCAAACGGTATTAAAGCATACGGACATTGATATATCGATTACCTTCAGATCCTGATCAAGAATTTATACAAATACTTCACAAAAAAAAGTATGCTTAAAGATCCTTTTTGTATTTTAAATTCCCGATAAATGGGTTGAGTAGATAACCCCTAAATCCCTTAAAGGATCCCCAAAAATATCATATTTTAATATCTGGATTACTTACATCAATCCCATGGCCGTCGTCACCGCACGCCCATCGTGTCTGCTGTTGCTTCTGGGCAAAGTGAGCGGCGTACTCGGCGGCAGCGGCCTCGTGCAAGGTCGAGCCCACAGCACCAACCCCTGGCACGCCGCCACCCACTCCGCCCACGCCCACGCCTCCGGGAGATGGGCGTTGCTGGAAGACATAGCCGACGGCGGCGGCTGCGGCGGCACCGGCTGCATCGGCGGCATCCTGGGCAACGCCACCGCGAGATCCTACCACAATGGCATCCGTGCCAACGCCGACGCCTCCGCGGCCATTGCGATCATCGTTACCACCCAAAAACTTCATATGTTGCTGGTGTTGCTGCTGCTGGCGTTGCTGTTGCTGCTGCTGTTGGTGTTGCTGCTGGTGTAGCTGTTGAAAATAGGGCGGTGGTGGACCGTAATGTTGCTGCTGCTGCTGTTGATGTTGCTGATAGAGTTGCTGGTGTTGCTGTTGCTGCTGCTGCTGTTGTTGATGTTGCTGCTGCGGCGAGGGCGTCGATATGGCAATTGTGGGCGCGGTTAGGAGCTCAATTTTGGAGGCTTTTCCTAGCTATCGCAGCTGACAATTTTGCGCGTATTGCCAACTTTTATTGGATTTACTTCAAAAACCACAAAAAAAGACCACACACGCGCTGCTTTTCAACACGATTCGACGTTTCGAAATATTCACAAATGTTTTAGTATTTTTTGAAATTTTCTCTTCCGATTTACACTTGTTTTATTTGTTGTAAAAGAAACCACACTTTTTGCTTAATATATTTAACATTTATTTTACAGGCTTTGCTGACATTTTTTTTAACACTTTTTGCTCAAAAAAAAATTACTTTTCTTCGTTTGGTTTGGTTGTCGGGGTTGGTTTTCTCTTTCTTTTTTTTTACATAAATTTACACAAAATTATGAATAATATTTTACACAGTTGCACAGCTGTTGTTTTTTTGTGGGACTTAACAAAACTGAACTTTATTTATTTAATTACGTATGAGAATTGGTTAAAACTTGAATTTTTACAGATTTATTTTTGAGAATTGTGGAATTTCCGTTTATTAATGTAGTTTATTAATTATAATTAGGATGAATTTTAATTTACACGACGTTTTAATGATGAAAATATACACAAACTGGAATGAGAAATACAAGTGGGAATTTTGATTAGTAGACGAATTCTGCATTTAGTCATTTATTAATTGGCAATTAGCAACGGTTCCTCATAAAAGATAAGGTATATTTTTGCCTCCCATTTGAAGAACACTGGAACCACTGTACTTTGTGCGATTAAAAACTTTGAGCTGGTCATGGTAAAAGAAAAGAATCCGATAACACAGACAGCAGACAAGGCGCATAATAATAATCAACAAAATAAAGCGCACAAGGGGCGAATAAAAGCAAAACAAATTCTTCTAAAACTGAAAGACGAGTAAGAACAAATACTAGCCATGATTTCCTCATTACGAAAACAATAACAAAGTCGATGCCAAGGGGCGGCAAAGGGGGCGGGGTCGTTTGAGGAACAGGAGCCCCAAGAACAAGTCAAAGAAGAAGACTATCCATAGAACAACGCAAAGCTGAATCATGCGCGAAAAATACGGAAAATGAAATTAGCTTTCTTCGCAGACCGATAGGTGAAATACACTTAAAATTCAATTAAAAGTAAAGTAATGACAAAAGATAAGAATGTTTCATTATCAATAAGTGAGTTTAGTTACATACATCACAGTTTTTAATCTACAGTTAATTATTTGAATTATTTTTAATTAACTATCGATCCGTTGGGGCCTTAGATTCGCGGCAAAAAGTTTGCATACGATAAGATAGGGTTTTATGTTGCAGTTTCAAAGTTATCGTAGAAAGAAAATATATCGAAGGTCTAACTTTTCGTTTGACTCATTTTTCAGCAAAAAAGAAATAATCCAAGACCGAATGATATTTTATTCGGACTGATTTATCAAAAGAAATATTTTTATTTACATAGAGTTAAAGTGTAATAAAATATTAGCATAAAAACTTTATTCATTTTACCCTTTTATAAAATTCGAAAAAAAATAAGTACTATTAAAAAGAAGAAATCAATTCTAGTATCAACCTCTGCAACTTGGAAAAAATTCTGGAATTATTTAAAAAATGTATATAAAAATTGCAAATTCTAAAAAACCTCCACCTTTAGGATCACTTAATCATTCGGTTAAAGGATTTCAAAAACATAACTGTTTTTTAATTTAGGCTTATGGAAATAATGATTTTAGGTTCGTAATAAAATTACACGTAATATCGTTTCAACGATCTGAAAAATAAATGTATATCTGGAGCTTGGCAAACTTCTGGACAGAATTAAAGCGCCCCCCGCGAAGGGAAGCCAAAAGCGCAAAGACAACGGCTGAGGCGGGGGGTGGTGGGGTGCGAGGGGAGGGGCGGTTGAAAATGGAAAACACATAAAATTAACATACACACAGAGGAGCAAGAACAACAAAAACAGTAACAAGAACAACGATGCCGGCAGACGATGAGCGAATGCGACAGAACGAATGGCGAAGAAAACGAAACGAAGACGAAGGCGAAAGGCGGCCGCAAACATTTGAGGTTACGTTTTCAGCGAGAAGAATGCGAGTGGGTCGGTTTTTCTTATTATTTTTTTTGTTGGTTGTTTACGAGAATCTCCAGCTCTCCTTTTCTACCTTTCTCGCCCCCCTGAAAAAGACTCTCTTCGCGGAGAGACAAGTGCAGCATGCGAAAAGGGATTGGGAGACAGAGAGAGAGCGAATGCTGGGCCCCTGGAAACACGCACACACCCGCACGCACGCTCGGGAATATAAAAACAAACATAAAGATAAACCATAAAAGAGATGGCTGACAAAACAAAGGAGGCGCGGCCGATAAATAATTAATAATTAAACCCATCGAATTGTTTAATCAGTTAGTTGGTAGTTTGGCGTTCTTATTGGGAAAAGCACGTATATACAAATGCAAGGCGTCCCGAGAGAGAGAAAGAGCGAACGCACTTACACACACATAGCCGACGAAGGCGGAGGGCGAGGCGGGGAGAAGGAAGAAGCAGAGCAGCCAAATGGCCGCCGCTCGAAAGGAAGAACACGATGGAATAAGGAAATAATGAAACACACACACGCACAATCGGAAAAATATTTCAGCAACAAAAAAAGGGAACAGGAACCGTATCAATTATTCAGGCACACACTTAATTGATTTTTACCTTTTTCGGCCAATATACTAAGTAAATTCGCAAACTATTTATACATGTTTGCATATATACAAAAAGCGGTCTGGAAGTACGCACTCATACACGAGCCGCCGCAGAGGAAAAGGGAAACCCGATGATGACAATGTAAAACGAAACAGGAGTATTTTACGGTTTTTGGCAGTTTTTTCGTTTTCGTATCGAGGCACTTACACATGCACTTAAAAAAGCCTTCGCATCTGCATTTCCTCTGATGGTGTGTGTGTGCTTTCGTTAACACGAAATTTAGATTATTTAAATTACAATTATTTACACAGGATGATGAAGAAGAAATCGGCCAGGAATTTCCTCAACGTCGCCGCCGTCCGTCGCAAAACGATAATAAAAGCTAAATGCAAAGACACACTGGCCAAATACAACTACAACTACAACAAGGAGTGCGAGCGAGAGAGAGGAGAGAACAAGAACCCCAAAATGAGCATTTTACTTTTATTAGAAAATAAATGTCTACATGAGCTAACTTAGGTTTACAAGATAGAGCTTCTCCTTTAATGGAACAATTAATTTTTTTTCATGATCACGCATTATTAATTTTAGTAATAATTACTGTATTAGTTGGATATTTAATATTTATATTATTTTTTAATAATTATGTAAATCGATTCCTTTTACATGGACAACTTATTGAAATAATTTGAACTATTTTACCAGCAATTATTTTATTATTTATTGCTTTACCTTCTTTACGTTTATTATATTTATTAGATGAAATTAATGAACCCTCAGTAACTTTAAAAAGAATTGGTCATCAATGATATTGAAGTTATGAATATTCAGATTTTAATAATATTGAATTTGATTCTTATATAATTCCTACTAATGAATTAGCAACTGATGGATTTCGATTATTAGATGTTGATAATCGAGTAGTTTTACCTATAAATTCACAAATTCGAATTTTAGTAACAGCCGCTGATGTAATTCATTCTTGAACAGTTCCAGCTTTAGGTGTAAAGGTTGATGGAACTCCAGGTCGATTAAATCAAACTAATTTTTTTATTAACCGGCCAGGTTTATTTTATGGACAGTGTTCAGAAATTTGTGGAGCTAATCATAGTTTTATACCAATTGTAATTGAAAGTGTACCTGTAAATTATTTTATTAAATGAATTTCTAGTAATAATTCTTCATTAGATGACTGAAAGCAAGTACTGGTCTCTTAAACCATTCTATAGTAAATTAGCACTTACTTCTAATGATATTTATTAAAAAATTAGTTAAAAATATAACATTAGTATGTCAAACTAAAATTATTAAACTATTAATATTTTTTGATTCCACAAATAGCCCCGATTAGATGATTATTATTATTTATCATTTTTTCTATTACATTTATTTTATTTTGTTCTATTAATTATTACTCTTATATGCCAACTTCACCTAAATCAAATGAATTAAAAAATATTAATTTAAATTCAATAAATTGAAAATGATAACAAATTTATTTTCTGTATTTGACCCTTCAGCCATTTTTAATTTATCATTAAATTGATTAAGAACATTTTTAGGACTTTTAATGATTCCATCTATTTACTGATTAATACCTTCTCGTTATAACATTTTTTGAAATTCAATTTTATTAACACTTCATAAAGAATTCAAAACTTTATTAGGACCTTCAGGACATAATGGATCAACATTTATTTTTATTTCATTATTTTCATTAATTTTATTTAATAATTTTATAGGATTATTTCCTTATATTTTTACAAGAACAAGTCATTTAACTTTAACTTTATCTTTAGCTTTACCTTTATGATTATGTTTCATATTATATGGATGAATTAATCACACACAACATATATTTGCTCATTTAGTTCCTCAAGGAACTCCTGCAGTTCTTATACCATTTATAGTATGTATTGAAACTATTAGAAATATTATTCGACCTGGAACATTAGCTGTTCGATTAACAGCTAATATAATTGCTGGGCATTTATTATTAACTTTATTAGGAAATACAGGACCTTCTATATCTTATTTATTAGTAACATTTTTATTAGTAGCTCAAATTGCTTTATTAGTTCTAGAGTCAGCTGTAGCTATAATTCAATCATATGTATTTGCTGTACTAAGAACACTATATTCTAGAGAAGTAAATTAATTATCTAATGTCTACACATTCAAATCACCCTTTTCATTTAGTTGATTATAGTCCTTGACCTTTAACAGGAGCTATTGGAGCTATAACAACTGTATCAGGTATAGTAAAATGATTTCATCAATATGATATTTCATTATTTTTATTAGGTAATATTATTACTATTTTAACAGTTTATCAATGATGACGAGATGTATCACGAGAAGGAACATATCAAGGATTACATACTTATGCTGTAACTATTGGATTACGATGAGGAATAATTTTATTTATTTTATCAGAAGTTTTATTTTTTGTTAGTTTTTTTTGAGCATTCTTTCACAGAAGATTATCTCCTGCAATTGAATTAGGAGCTTCATGACCTCCAGCCGGTATTATTTCATTTAATCCATTTCAAATTCCTCTATTAAATACAGCTATTTTATTAGCTTCAGGAGTAACTGTAACTTGAGCTCACCATAGTTTAATAGAAAGAAATCATTCTCAAACTACTCAAGGTTTATTTTTTACTGTATTATTAGGAGTTTATTTTACAATTTTACAAGCTTATGAATATATTGAAGCTCCATTTACTATTGCCGATTCAGTTTATGGATCAACATTTTACATGGCTACAGGATTCCATGGAGTTCATGTATTAATTGGAACAACTTTTTTATTAGTATGTTTATTACGACATTTAAATAATCACTTTTCAAAAAATCATCACTTTGGATTTGAAGCAGCTGCATGATACTGACATTTTGTTGATGTAGTTTGATTATTTTTATATATTACAATTTACTGATGAGGAGGTTAAACTATTATCATAATTATCTATATAGTATAAAAGTATATTTGACTTCCAATCATAAGGTCTATTAACAAATAGTATAGATAATTTTTTCTATTATTATAATTGCTTCATTAATTTTACTAATTACAACTATTGTAATATTTTTAGCCTCAATTTTATCAAAAAAAGCTCTTATTGATCGAGAAAAAAGATCTCCTTTTGAATGTGGATTTGATCCAAAATCATCATCACGGTTACCATTTTCATTACGATTTTTTTTAATTACTATTATTTTTTTGATTTTTGATGTAGAAATCGCTTTAATTCTACCAATAATTATTATTTTAAAATATTCTAATATTATAATTTGAACAATCACTTCAATTATTTTTATTTTAATTTTATTAATTGGGCTATATCATGAATGAAATCAAGGTATATTAAATTGATCAAATTAATATAAATAGGGTTGTAGTTAATTATAACATTTGATTTGCATTCAAAAAGTATTGGATATTCAATCTACCTTAAAATAGAATATGAAGCGATTGATTGCAGTTAGTTTCGACCTAACCTTAGGTAATTTTACCCTTATTCTTTAATTGAAGCCAAAAAGAGGCGTATCACTGTTAATGATATAACTGGGTATTAACCCCAATTAAGGAAGTATGGTGATCAAGTAAAAGCTGCTAACTTTTTTCTTTTAATGGTTAAATTCCATTTATACTTCTATTTATATAGTTTAAATTAAAACCTTACATTTTCATTGTAATAATAAAATATGTTATTTTTATAAATTACTAAAATTAATTCACTATATTCAAAGATTAATTAATCTCCATAACATCTTCAGTGTCATACTCTAAATATAAGCTATTTGAATATAAAAATAATAAAAAATTAAATAAAATTAAAATTCAAAATACAAATAATATTAAATAAATTTTTAAACTATTATTATGTATTAAAAATAAAGTTTTAGAATAATTAGTTAATTTATAATATAAATGTTGACCTCCAAAATATTCTGATCAACCTTGATCAAAACTTTTAACAACTAATTGACCATAATTTAATGGATAAAAAATTATTCCATAAGTTCTAATATAAGGTATAAATCATATTGACCCTAAAAAAACAGTTAAATTATAATTTAATAAAGATTTATTTAAAGAATATAAATTTGTTATTGAAATTAAATATCCAAATAATCCCCCAAAAATACACACAAATAAAGTTAATAATTTTAAATATATTGGTAAACAAAAAATAGGCGACTTACAGCGTTCACGTAAATTTGTTTACTGTACTTAAAAGGCCGTCAGATGTAGGAAAGATTACTGTCCTTTTCGGGGCATTGCAACATTTTAAAGGAATATCTTTTTAAATTTTCTTATTTAAGTAAACAGTAATTATTATATGCTATTTTTGTTATAGTAATTCTGCGAGTTTTAAAAAAATTCAACAAAAAACCGTGATTATGCGCTTTACTTTTATTTCTCATATTGCGTACGCACTGTACCTTCATAAATGCCTAATGAAGGTGGGTGGTCGGTCTCAAAGGATTATTGGACTTGAAAGTTCAGGTCGCGCGTGTATTTTTTCTTTTGCGAAGAAAAAAAAACATACTATTTTTTTCAATACTAAGAACATACTGTACACGAATACCATTTAAAGTGGGCCCGATTTTGCATGCATATACCACAAAGTTTGCGACTTTTCTCCTTTTACTGCGTATTGTAATGTAATTTTTTTAAGGGGTTTATGTTAAGTGGTACATATACAATATATATTAAGGGGTATTTTATAAGTTATGTACTACTGTACACTTTGGAAATACTTCAAAAATCTGAAGATTTTTTAATTTTTAGTTTTTTTACGGTTTTTGAAGTTGTATATATTTTATTTTTACTGTACAGTAAAAACTCTTTTGTTGTACTTGCCTTCCTCCTCGCTATCGCTGGGCTGATGCTTCTTGGGCCTGCCGGCCTTGCGTTTTTTGGCGGAACCGGGCGTCTTGACCGCATCTCCGCCGCCACCGCCGCCGGTGCTCCTGGGGCGTCCCCTGCCCTTCGCCGGGGGCGAGGGGGAGGAGTTGTTGGCCAGCTCGTTGCCGGAGTCCTCCTCCTCCTCGTCCTCATCCTCGTCGTCGTCGTTTTGGATTTTGGACGCCTTGGGCGGGCGACCCCGCTGGCCGCCGCCGCCGCTTGGTGCACTCGCTCCCTTGTTCTTGGCGGGACGACCGCGCTTTTTGGCGCCCGGCGAAGCTGCCGCCGCCGCCGACGAGGCGGATCCACCAGCGCTGGCTGCCTTTGGCGGCCGACCGCGCTTCTTTACCGCAACTTCCTCCATTATTTTGCTGGCGGTTTTAAATTAGCAAGCGAATAAAGAAAATCCTCGCTTTTCTTTTCTTTTCTGCGCCTTTTTTAGCGGCGTCCCTTCACGCACACACACGCACACTAGACCTCTCTCTTTCGCTCTCTGGCGCAAAACACACAAACTGCCGAAGCGCTCTCGAGACACACACACACGCTCACTTATTTTCGCTTGCCTCCTCTTCTTCTTCGCTTTTTGTTTGCCGAAAATCGAGCTGGAAAAATATGCAGAAAAACAATTTCAGTTACTTGCCTAAGTGCGGCAAAATGCGCGCTGAAAAATTGTGGAAAATTCCAGGAAAAAATATAGTTTTCGCAGAGCCGGAAAAGGCCGCCCCGCGCTACTTACTTGCTTCGCCAATTTTAATTGTAAATGTAAAATACGCGCACGCTAGTACAGTTGTTGTCAGTGTTGTCAAACAGCCGATATTTGCCCCTAAAAAATACCATCACAAGAACGGCGTTGCGTCAAAACGTAAGTGTCAGTTACGTAATACGTAAGTCAGTTTTACGTTTCCATAGAGGGCGCCCGTTGCCTCAAACCAGTTTCCCGCTTCCGCCAATTTGGCGCCCCTAAATGTTAGATTTCATGGTTTTCTAACAGCAATGTTAAGATACAACGTTTTCTTACATTGGCAGAGCAGCTACAGCGACGCAACAGTTCTGCCAATGTAAGAAATGTATCTTAACTGGCCAGTTTCAGTGTTGCCAGATAAAAAATCAGATTTCGTTCCAATTAGCAATTGTACAAATTATACCATTCTTTTTCTGGCGCTTGAAAACACTGTTTTACCGTTTTATATTTAAATTCAATGTTGCCTTTTATAAAGCGATAAATAATATTAACAGATATTCAGAGTTATACTTACAATCCTTAAATGGTGTTGGCCGAAAAATGTTTTCCTATTTTTTATTTAGCAAAGAAAACTTTCAAACGACGGAAAACGAATTCAAATAAAAACAACGTTACAAAACACAACGATAAAAATATTTGTAAATCTTTTTGTTAAAAAATCACATTTTCGTTTCAATACAGACTTGAAAAACCTTCACCAAATTAAAATATTTCACCACAAAAATTAGATTTTGAAATTCGATCTGGCTCTAACGAAGGAACTTAAGTTCTGTTATATAGAAGCAGGGAAACCTTTTAAAAGATTCAAATAAGTACACTGGACTCATGGCTTACTATAAGGAAACATAAAGTTTAGAAATAAAGTATACTATCTATCAATATTATCTTCAGATTTATGACCAAACAAGGCTGTATAAAAAATCCCAAGATTTAAATAAAAAGCTCTACAAACATTTTCTATAAACAACCTTTAAATATAAAAGTTACAAGCACAGTTTACAAGCAACTGTTTAATTAATAGTTGCACATATTGCAGTTTATTAGGCTAATCACAGTTGAATAATTAAATACTATAGAGCGGGCGCTCACTTCCACAGCTTGATGACACCGTCTCGCGATGCCGAGGCTATGTAGATCTGTCCCTTGTCCTTGCACATCAGCAGATCGGTGATGGCATCATGGTGGCTGGCAGTGGGCATGTCCGGCCCGGAGCGGGGATTCTCCTCCGTGGAGGAGCGCAGCTGCTGCGAGTCGCCAGTGCTGGCCATGGAAATGATTTGCTCCTCGATCACCTGGCTGCCATCGATTAAGCGGGCACTGAAAAATAGGATTGCATTAACAATATATAATCAATCATTTAAATATAATTAATATCATCTCATTCCTTGAAAAAGCCCAAATTAAACTGAAAATCTAAATTCAAATAATAAATAAAAATGTATCTAATTCGACACCTTGAAAAAGCCCAAATTAAGTTCAAAATCTAAATTCAAATTATTAAAATAATAATGTATCTAATTCGACACCTCAGACGAGCTGAAGTCCTTAGCTACTAGAGCTCTTAATCTTAGTTAGCTTATAGTTTTAACTTTAAGCTTGCTTTATATAAATAAATCAGGGACCGTAAATAACAGTTATTTTGAGACTTTTATTTTAAAAGGCCTAATGAGATTTGTTCAATTTTTTATCAACAATTTTACTGGGTTTTATGCACTTTATAGACATGGACAAAAAAGAGTTAATTTGCTTTCCAGATTTGTTGAAATGCATATGCTTTGTGGACAAGAGTAAAAAGAACGTTATTTTTGACGTTTAAAACAAAATATCACAGTAGTCTTTTTAAATAAAAGTCTCTAATAACTGTTATTTACGGTCCCTGAAATAAATAAATAAATAAAATAACAATTACCCGTAGTTAAAGGCCACATCTGCCAGATTATCATTGGCAGCCGGCACCTTGAGCGCGGAGTTCTTCGGGTTGCCGATGTCCCAGTACCGGATGCGCTGATCCGAGCTGCCGGTGAGAATGAAGGGCGCCCCGTCGACCACTCCGCTGAGGATGCCGCATGTGGTGGCCGGATCACTGGGACTGGCGCTGGACAAGGCAGCCACTGGGCTGGCCCACAAGACAGTCTGCCGCTGACCCGTTTCGATATTCCACACCGAAACCTCATTGTTCGACTGCGAGGCGGAGATCAGATACGAGGGTTCCGTGGGATGGCAGGCAACTTTGCGTATCCACGAATCATTCGGATGTTTGATCTCGGCAATGGGCAGGCGAAAGCGCAGATCCCAGCAGATATGCTTGCCGCCACTCGTTCCGGTGGCCAACCAGGAGCCAGTGGGATCCGCACAGATGGTGGTGATCACCCCGTGCCGCAGTTCGTTCTGCAGTCGCCAGGCGCTGTGCTGCATCCGCGTGTCCCAGGCCACAATCCCGCCGTACAGCGTGGCGTACACGATGACACTCTGCGTGGCCTGGTCGTAGGCATGCATGTCCACAACGGGTCCGTCTTTATGGTCACTAGGATTAAAGGAAATACATTAAGATATTAACATATACATATCTACTTTGCGATTTTTTCTATAAAAACTGGTTGGCTGGATTTAATTCAAACCTTTTGTATATTATTAAGTGTCATTTAAGTAACATCCACTAATTTTTATAGCCGATACTAGCGGCTATTATATCGGTGGCAAAGCGATTGCTGGAACTCTATTAAAAATAGACATTTTGCGAAGTTCAACGTACCTCCGATAAAAATGATCGGATTTCCATTTTGTTTTAACATTTCGCTTAATATTAAAAAAGACCCGCCCCTTGGGAAGCCATTTTTTAAATTTTTTATTTTTGAGAATTTTTTTTGAGATTCCAAAATCAAAAATGCGTTTTTCACTTAAAAAATGTGACTTTCGGCATAAACAAAAATATTTTAAGTTACAAAATTTAAAAAAAAAAAGCTTCCCAGGGGGCGGGTTTTTTTTATGCAGAAAAATAAGCGACAAATTTGAAAACGATCGGTTAAGCCGTTTAAAAATGCCGATGTACACGGACTTTCGAAACGTGGTTTCCAGAAAAACACACTTAAAGAGGTTAGGGTACTGATTTTAGAAAACCTTCTAAAGTTTTTGTCCGATTGACTTAAAACTTTTTTTGTACAATCTTAAGATGTTAATCTACGTGAAAAAAAAATTAAAAAAATCGATTTTTTTTTTTTGTGTAAGCCCCTAAATAGTTAATAACATCTCACTTCTGATTCAGCGCCTGTTGGAGCGTCATCTTGGCGGAATTGCGATCGATCCGCATCATCAGCATGCTGCCATCCTTGCCGCCCACCGCCAGCGATTGTCCACTGTCACAGGCGGCCAGCGCGTAGATGGGCGTATTGGCCGAGTAAACCTGCCTCGATTTGTTCACCCCCTGATTGCCATTCAGTTTGCTGCAATCCCACAATCGCACCGTGCCGTCTATGCTGCCGCTGGCGAAGAGCGATCCGTGGGGACGCAGGGAGGCCAGCTTGATCACCGATTCCGAATGCTCGTGCAGATGGGCCACCAGGGTGCCGTTCATCCGCCAGCCAGGCGGATAGGGCGTCACCAGCTTGTCGTAGCTGCAGCGCTGCGAGATGGCCAGCACATTGTAGCGTCGCTTGATCTTGGCCGTCAGCGATTCGAGATCCTTGCGGCACTCCGAAGAGCGTTCAAGCCAGCAGTTTCGCTCCGGCATCGTGTATTCACCCAGCGAAGTGGCCGCACTCACCGTGGCAGTTGGCACGCCAAGGACCACGGCTCCGGAGGCGGGACTACCGGCCAAACCGCCGGCTCCCAGCGGTGTGATCGCTGCGTCCGAGGCGGGCGATACCAGTGTCGGTCCTTCGCTGGATCCTGAAAAGGAATTGGTGACAAACAAGTTTACTTCACGAATGGATTTCTTTGAAAATGCTATAGCATATTTTCGTTTGGCTTTCTATTTTTCAGAAAATAATTTCTAGTTTTAAGGTAATTTTTAGTTCATGGTAACCATTTTCTACATTTAAGAAAAACTTCCTTGATTTTAGGAAAATTTCGTTAGATTTAGAAAAACCTTCCTTGTATTTAGAAAAAAAAATTTGAATGCTATTTTCTAAAATGTAGGGTACAATTTATTTTGAGAATAGTAGAATTTAAATAATTATGGTAAATATTCTTGAAAATATAGGGTTTCAAGAATATTGGTCTATAAAAACAATATAAGAAAAATGTTTGGGAAACTTAGAGCTTCAAGACTATTTGTCTATTTAAAATAAAATACATCAGTTATAATTTATAAAATTTTATTTCGCAGACAAAGTTAAAAACAATCTATAATAACAATTGAAGTAGAGAATTACATGAATCAAAAAAATAATTATTTATAGATCAAAATAAATCAGTTAAAAGATTCACAACCGAATAAATTTATTTGAAAGTCTCCTCTCACTGGTTATATTATTCTTCAGCGTATAAATTCCCACAATCCAGAACTAAAAATAGCTGAGAAATTCGTACAAAAGATTACGAGTATTGAAGCACTTAAGAAAGCAAGTAAAGTGAAATGAATTTGAATTAACTAAGTGGTCTAGTAAATACCCCATTAAACTCAATGAACATGAAACCCATAATAGAAATCATTGACTTACGGTTCTCCAGGGGCATTTTGGTGGTCTTGTCCGCCAGCGGATATTCATGGCAAGCGACTTGCTTGCGACTGACCACGATGCGTCCATTGCCAGAGGCGGTGTCCTCCAGATCCTGCAGGGACTTGTGCTTCATGGAGATCAGGAATGGGCTCATGGCCAGCAGCTGCATCTCATTTAGATTTGTCAAACCCTCAGAGATTAGGCGTCTAAACAGCTGCAAATGAATTTTACCACTTACAGAATACGAATGAAAATGAAAATAAAAACTACTCACATTCATGAGGGTTTGTCCCACCTCCTCGAACTGCGGCATAGCTCCCGGTCTGGCCTGGCCACGAGCTCTCGATCGATCCTCCAGCGCTCTGATGAAGCTATGAATGTCCTGGAAGCGCAGCACGCTGTCGAAAATCTGCCGCGGCACCGGCGGATGCA